CCTCCACTGATGTACAATGGCAGCAGCGTGTACCATCTACAAGAAGCAACGTAACAGTTCACCGGGGCTTCTTCAACCGTTGCTTCCACACCTGCAAACTCTACACCTAGAAGAATAAAAGGTAGAAGATGCAACTTCCTTTCGAAAACAACACCATCCCAACTTGGTAATATATCACTTCTCCTTCACTGTCGCTGTGTCAGAATTGTGGAACTCTCTACCTAACAGCACTTTAAGAGTGTCTACATCCTAAGGACTATAGCAGTTCAAGAAGCCAATTTACCATCACCTTCTTCAGGGCAATTAGGGAAGGGCAATATAAGCTGACCTTGTGTTAGAACCCTCACTGATTTTTCTTTATGTTTATCATTTTTAGTTATGGAGCTGTGAACTGTGAGCTGACAGCTGACAGCTGAAGGTCACCTTCGGACTGTGAACAGCAACGTGTTATGTTGAAAGAAAACAGAACAAACAAACTGATATTTCTTTGAGGCTAGTCCTGGAGATTAATTACAGGTTGATTGTTGTTCAAAGGATTCTGTTAGTGTTTCAACTTCAGAAAGGCATCATGTTCAAACAGATGGGAGATATTTGAATATTAACTGGGCGTCACAGGGAGCTATGGTGCTAATTCGGCTCACAAAGAAAATGCTCGAGAAAAAAAACAGGAAGAGAAACTAAAGTTTGCACTGGTTTTGAAATGTGTGTTTTTATCAGAAGGAGTGTGGCTGCCAAAGTTATCCTCTCATTACCAACGTACCAGAAGCTCAGTGGATAGAATCTCAGGTTTTAAGAGTTAAATGAATATTCCTTGGAGCCTACTGGAATCTATTTGCATTGACAGTGGCTTCAGAAACCGAGCAAGATACAACCCCATTTGCCGGTGATGTTATGGATTCTGGAAACAGCTTAAGTAAAATGGTCAGTTATATATCTTGTATTTTTCTTTTGATTTATCTCTTAACCATGTCAGTTTGTCTGTCTTTGCATGAGCAGGGGCTAGAATCAAAAAAGGTTGGATTTAGATCATACACTTTAATTAGTTTACCTTGCTGTTTAACTTTGCTCAGCCAAAGCTACTGTATTACTAATGAATTGTTAGTTCTTTTATTTAAACTATAAACCTGGTGTTCTATATCAATTATTCACAAAGTCTATTTATGGTTATTCACCAAGCCTGGATAGGAACCATTGGGGTGGATTTCGAGGGTCTTTGTATGTCTTCGTGTTTTATTGTGTTGCAATACAGGGATACGGAGGCTTATGTGATTTGGCTATTTGTCTTCATGTAGTAACACCAGTTAGTGACACCCACGTCACATGAATGAATTAAAAAAAAAAGATTTTCAGGTCAGTTGTACCTGGGAGAAAACGCACATGAAACTCAAGTGGAATCGAAATTTCCATGTGAGACTGCTCATCTTTATGTATGTGTTTGCCCTTCATTTATATATGGCATGGATCCAATGGAATGTTTCTTTCCCCCAGCGTCAGGACAATAGTACAAAGCATCTGATCAGGTTGAACAGTCATGGCATATGACTGTTATCGAAACTAGGGATTGATATTCTACTTGATCTATCTTTGGGAATCAGTTGCTACAAGACCAGAAGGAATTTTGCGTATTCTTTGAGTCTGTCATGAGCAGACTGCAGCAACTTGAGGGCAATGCACAATAGTGTGCCTCTGATGTCACTGGAGCTCCATGTAAAGGGTTTACATTTATATACAAGTAGATTATCATGGAGTGCATGTTTTTCCCCACAATCATCTACAGGAGGGCACCAAAGAACCACAGGAGCACGACTAAGTGAAGATTAGTACTGAGCGAGGAAAAGACAATGCAATAAAATCCAATTAACAAGCACACAGGCTCAATGAAGTATACCTGAGGAGTTTTAAATAACTCACGGTTAAGAAAGGTCATCTGGGTAACAACAGATCAACACCCAGAATTCACTGTCAAGAGTAATAACTTGATAAGGCTATAAGAAGATGAAATATCGGAGGGCCCACATTGGGATGGAGAATCTAGGAGAGTCAGAGACCGCTGACCTTAAGATAGTGGGTCAGAGTGGCAGAGGTTGTAAACCAAATGGTTGGCATCAAGAGAGAAAGTCAGGGAGCTGCATAGGCCATGAAAGGTTTCTAGGTTTGGGAGCTAGAGTGAGAGTCTGTGATTGGCTGAGGGTCTGTAAGTGGCAGAGACCTGCAGGGTTGGGAGCAAGAGATGGATATTCACTTGTGTTGCCTTAGTCTCCAGGGCTATGGGCCAAGAGCTGGAAGATGGGACTAATGTACTTAGATCTTTGTTGTCCACATGGACACAATGGACTGAATGGCATTCTTCATAGCCATGAGTCTAGGAATCTATGAAGATAGGTCAAAGAGTAGCAGATACTGCTCCAAAATACTGACTCCATGTCAGGCCAGGCACAAATTGACTTTAAAACAAAATTTGCGATGCTATGTATAAATAAGGGCCCATTAACCAACAACATTAAAGTGGAACATCTTCATCTTATTAGTTCAGTTGCAAAAATAGGCAGAGATAGCAGGAACTGCAGATGCTGGAGAATCTGAGATGACAAGGTGCAGAGCTGGATGAACACAGCAGGCCAAGCAGCATCAGAGGAGCAGGAAGGCTGACGTTTCGGGCCTAGACCCTTCTTCAGAAAATAGGCAATTGTATTTCAGCAAAAAAATTCTGTTGCATATTGCTGCGGTGAGAGATCTTCATGTACCTCATAAAACTAATCTTAAAGATTTTAGTAGAAAGAGATGGTAGTCACAAAGAAAGCATCTCAGGAAATAATGGGCACGCAGTCAAGGATTTTCTGCCTATTCCTTGGGAATGTCAAATTACAAAATCAGTCTTGCAGACAGAAAACTAAGCTGTCCAGAAGGAAAATTTACAAGTTGGCTTGTAAACCATCTTTATCACTAAGACAAAACCATTAAAAAAAAAAGATTCCTTGCATGGTCCAGCACAACCCAGTTGGGCCACATGATAATTTGTGACCTCTGGTACAAACAGCCCTAATATTTTGTGACCCTATCCGGTCAACCTATTCCAGGCATAACATCATCTAGAAATGCAAAAATGTATTCAATTATTTCTTCTCATTACTGTATCTCTTTTCCTTTCAGAAAATAATGTGACAATGGTGTCAAAATTCTATTTCTGTTCAATTATTGCTATGCTTTGGCCCAGTTCCATGTCCTCCTCAACTGCCCTCTCAAGGTCATCGAGCTCCTTAGTATTTGATTAATCAGCTTGTCCAGCATTTCCTTTTTGAGATGGAATTCTAACAGGGAGTGAACCCAATTTGTAATGTAAATTTCTTCAAATCTGTCCAATCACCTAGATTGAAGACAGATTGTTATGCATGGTAGGCTTCTGATGCAATTCCCACCTAAAAGACAGCCATTGCTGGAAGGATGGTAAGTTCTGGCAGTGCTGCAGGAAATGTACTGAAGTACAAGAAGAAAAGCAAAAATCCCAGAATTTTTTAAAGTGCCCCAAACTCCCACTTTGCCAAGCCCAGCACTATCAGCAGTATATGGGACTTATTGGAAGGAGAGGAAGCAATTACTCCAAAGTGCGACCTTAAATCCTTGCTGTTTGCTTGCCAGTGTTTACAACCTCCTTCCAAAATACAGGAACATTGTCAAATGCAGTAGACTGGCAGGAGATGCTTCTGGAAGTGAGTTCATCACTGATTTTCATGTGGGATGTGAGGAAGGAGCAGCCAACAATACTCCTCCTGGGACAGGCAGGTATAAACGCAGTGGTGGCTCATTGTTTAAATTTCCTTTCATTTTTGACCATGATCACTAAGGAGAATTTTCTCCATGCTGTTCTGAGCCAACCATGTATGACATAACTCTCAAGTTTTGACAATGAATACAACTGTACTGTGAAATATGTAGAAAATATCAAGTAATAAGAGTACAGGCTCCCAACAAATCACATACCTCCATTGCTCAGATTTCTCATTCTCATCCTTCCCACAATCATAATCTGCAACAGTTTCAAGACTCATTATAATACAGATCCTTCAACTCCGATCTTCACTATCTGTAGTAGTCCTCCTCCCATTAAGCCTGGATCTTTCCCCTAGCACTAGCCCCACTTCTGCTGCTCACTGTTAAATCATGCAATCCATTTCAGGCTCAGATTTCACCAGTTGTTCCTTTGCCTCCTAGATCAGAGTTATGATGTATTTTTTTCACCCTTTTTAAATATAATAGCAGGCATATTAAATAAACAAAAAGAAAACATATCACAATTTGTATTGTCATAATTGTACCTAATTTAAAAATATACGCACAGTGTATTCAAAACAAAGATGACTGTTACCTTGCACAAATAAACCTATTTCAATATTTAATTCACTAAAAGTTGGTTGTTTTGGTTTGTAAGGTAATTATTGGGGCAGAAATTCTTTTAAAATAACTTGATATAGGGAACAAACAAGTTACATATATTTAGTGAAAATAATCTATTATTTTTAATATTCAGTGTAAAATTTTAAAAATGTTATATGTGTGCAACACCAGAATGAACAAAATTTTATAATTTATATTTATTGGTCAATTCAAAAACTATATAACAATTTGAGATATTTACATTGGTCACCTTTTCAGAATTTATTCTTATATGAATAGATTCTGTTCACTGCAGTCTGTTATACTACACAATTCTATCTGAATTGTGGTAACGTGTGCATTCATGTATCATTATTCACATGTTTACCAAAGACCAGTTGTCATGCTCACAACCTGACTATCACCATACTAGGTCACACACAACCCATTATTATCATCTGCTGTTAGAGTATTTCAAACAAATTTTGATCCTTTTGGTGGGTTAATGTACAGGCATTAAATGATGAAAACTTTATCTTGAAACACTGCTCCAAACCTAGGGCGATTAACATGCAATTCCTTAGTAAAACTGTGCCACTCAAAATACATAGAACTGGATGGACACTGACCTGCTGTTTGAGTTGCTGTACCAATCTATCTTTCTCCCTCTTTAGTGATGCTACCTCCTCCTGTGTCTTCTTCTTCTTGGATGAAGAGAGTTCCAGTAGAGCAATGTTAGCATCTTTTTCACTGATGGCTGCCAGCAGTGCTTCTTGCCTGAGAGGTAACCAGAAATAAAATAAATAATCCAAAACCACACACCCCTTTAGGCATTAACACTAACTTTTCAAAATAAATTATAGTGGCCAATAATTATAAACATTTCTATTTTTCTATCATTATAAGCATAGTCTTGATTTTTAAACAAATTGCCTTGCTACTGACACTAAGGGTAAGTGTCAAAGCCACCGCAAAAATGCTCTTCAATTCTATTTTTAAAAACAGAAATACCATTGCAACAAAGTTTTTATTTAATGATGAACTCACTATTTGAGTGACATTCTCCTTATAAACCTTTGACAAACATTGATGGAATGAAATAAATATCGCAAAATCTTTTCCCTGTATGACATTATTATTGTACTTTTTTTGTACATCATGTTCTTACAATAAAATGATGCACAACTGTTTAGCTCTTCTCTCTCAAGCATAAATACTTTGAAACTTCTATACCAACTGCAAAATATTATAACCAAAATGACAAGTCAACTCTCATATTCACCTACCCCCACCACCTCCATCTTGATCTGTGTCAAATGGATTGCTTATTCACTTTTTCGTGATTTCTAGGTTGCAAACCAATTTGCTATTTGTGAAAGTTTGAAGAATTGGTGGGTAGATTTTCTTCAATAACTCAGCATAGTATGCTACGATACTGAGTAATATTACTAATATTGACCACTTGCCAAGAAATAAGAAAACAAAGAAACCCAGGCTGTTTAAATAAACTTACATGCTACGTGTTGCTAAATCATGAAGCACATATGAGTCGCATGGAAAAAGACATTCTTGCAACAGAAGACTCTGCTATCTCAGGGCTATCATACCAAAGTAATAACCAATTTAGGAACACCAACTTGTGACCTTCAACTGAGATGTTCGTATGGTCAGCACAACCATTATTATATTATGGTACAAAGCAGTGGTCAAACCTTGTATGAACTATGCTTTTGTCTACATCTTCGTAATCTATATCTATTTATCCAAAAAGGTACAAATAAAACATTTGCACACTTTTCCTGTCTGACACACTACACTTTCTGTATCACGTTTAATATCGAGAAAAATCACAGGCAAATATTCAATGCACATCTGTAGCTCATTGGTTCAAGTTTCATATTCATGAAACAAGTAGTAAATGTAACAAATAGAGAATGTAGCAATCAGCAAGTAAACAAACTACTAAGAAAATCAAAAGATTGTAAATCAAAAGATTGTAAATCAAAAATGGGCTCTTGGCATCAACTAGGGCAGAATGGTGGCTCAGTAGTTAGCACTGCTGTCTCAGCGCCAGGAACCCAGGTTCGATTCCATCCTTGGGCGACTATCTGTGAAGTTTGCAAGTTCTCCCCGTGTCTGCGTGGGTTTCTTCCGGGTGTTCCAGTTTCCTCCTACAATCCGAAGATGTACAGGATTGGCAATGCTAAATTGCCCATTGTATTCAGGGATGTGTAGATTAGGTGGGATGGTCTGAGGGTTGGCATGGACTTGTTGGGCCCAAGGGCCTGTTTCCACACTGTAGTGATTCTATTCCGTGAAATAAACAAGTGGAATTGATCAAGCTACTTCAACTATTTTGAAACTCCTTTTGGTTATCACCAATCAGAAAATTACATTTTTGGAAATAAGATTTAAGGCATTGTCATTACAAAATATACAAGAAACAAATAAACATAGGTACACCATGTCATGTTCTGTGTTTAAAATGTGTATTACAATCCTTTATATTGGAAATCAGAAGTTCTCTGTAAAGCCAAGTGTTTGAGTTAATGAGCTTTTCAGGACTACCATTGGCAGCTGAAGCACTCAACAACTACAGTTCCCAGCAAACATCTGTAGCTACAATGCCTAAGAAGTACAGTCTGTGTATGGCTGTGGAAAATTATTCTGTATCAGTAAAACATTCTGCAGCTAGTTTGCGCATGACCAGAAGATTCTTACTTCTTAGGGTACAAAACTAATTAAAAGATTTTTTTCATATAAAAAGATCAGACAATATACTAAAAATTCTGATATAAGTTTTGACAGTGACTTTTTTAATCAATAGGTAACAAGAAAGATCAAGAATTAGGCAGGCAAAAAAAGGAAGCTGAGACAGAAAAAGAAATAAATAACAAGACGGACAGAGATATGGATCAGAATAGGGTGGCTACATGCCCAACATCCTATGTGTCTGTATGTGGGGTAGGACATCAAATTGACACTGATGCTTGCTCTGGGCAAGAACTTGCATGTGGTGTCTGTTAACATTGGGAGACTGCTGTGCTGCAATTACGACATAGTTCTAGCGAAGAGATTCTCCCAATCCTAACACCTTCCTTAGGTGTACTGGGTGGATGGGAATGCTCTCACTGTGCTGAAAGATGTCACCAATGTCCAGTCACTTGCCTTTATTGTCTTTGTTCAGGGGATTTTGCCAATCTCAAGGTGACAAGCTGCCTGCAAGTTAGCATCTATTGCGAACACTACTGTTGACCATGTACCTTCCCAGTGACAACTTAATTCTGGCAGAGATAGGAATGTACAATCTGCCCAACATTTTAGATAAATGATCTTTCATCTAAACCAAAAGAAACACATACTGCCACCTGTCAGGAAGATGCAATTACCCCAGATAATTTCTTCTGTTTCTGAATCCATTTCAGGGTGAAATCTATTTGCCTTTCTAGAACAGTGACTGAAAGAGCTTCTTAACACTGTATTTACTGAGCAAACTGTGTCTGACAGGAATTCGGATACAACTGTGCATGTTCAGTGGCATATTTACAAGTACCAGACAGCTGGACGAGAAGATGACATGAACATCTTTTTGTACCTCAATGAATAAATTCATTGGCCAAAGTGTTTCCTTTCCAGAAAGACAATTTCTGGAGAGAAATCCATTTTTTCCTTTATCTGGTGCATATAGCCATGTGTGTGTGGCTTTTGGGTTAGTTTAGAGGCAGAAACATTTGTGTTATAAATAGCATACGTTAGCCAGTTTTGGAGTTTGACTGAACAAGTTTTGCTTTATAATTAACCAATAATTTCAAATTTCTTTTTAAAAACTGTTTGATAGATGTCTTTCGTTAAATCTTGACAGATAAGGTGCACATGAATTGTGAGATCTGAGATGTGATTTCTTAAATTCATTGGACCTGGTTCCACTTGTTTGTATGTATAATGCTCAGTCCTCTGTGTCATTGCACATGGCAAAACAAAGATCAAGCATATCTACAAAATTAACTGGCCACCTCAGTAACTGGGAATTTCATCACAATAATATTGTGACCTGTCGACTAATGATACTCGAGAAATAATGCACTCCTCCAGCATCAATCATAGCACTATATAGACATGAACATAGGAAGGAAAATATAAAAAACAAAGCAGAACATATGGTTGAAAAATGAGTTCCCTGTCAAAAGAATCTTCTAGCTATGCTTGATCTTCATTTTCCCACATACAATGCAACCGAGGACTGTGTAGTATACTTACAAACAAATGGAGACTGGTCCAATACAGTAATGGTTTCACATCAAATCTCACAATTCAGGTGCACCTCAGACAAGCTGTAACTAAATATTCTTGGGGAAAACTGCATGAACAAAGAAAGAAGATACTCAGTAGTCTCGGGTGTACCCATATGTAAGAGTCATAGCTTATGGCCTTAAGGGATGAAGCAATCCTAAATGTAGAGCTAATCTAGTAGAATGACACATTATATAATTCATAGAGCAAGTTATCCTCTTAAATTAACATGAGCATTATCATCTGAGTTCTATTCTTAAGACTTCAATAATTTTAAAGACGTTAACCAAATTAGGTTTGACACACAGTAAAAGTGCTTATAACTCTACTAGTAATTGTTACTGCATTCTTGTTGTGCTAAGTTTTGCCAATTTAACTTTGTTCCCTTTCAGTTAATCTACAGGAGTTATTTGAACAAATATTGTCAAATAGTTTGACTACAGGAGTTTTATTTGTGCATTATGCCAGCGAATAATTTGCAGCCACAAGCAACTGCATTGACAACAGATGTTCCACAAATTTGCCCTGTACAGGAAAACTCTGCTGGGAAACCAACAAGGAATACCATTGCCCTGATGCATTCTCAGGCAAATTTGGTTCAGCAAATGAAAGTTAACTGACGATCTAAACTCTGCATAGAAGGAACTTCCTGCATTTTAAGTGCTGACATTAACTCAGAGTAAGTTCTACACGCAGAAGCGGTGTATCAGGCTTTGATTTTGGCATTCTGTGAACAGTTTTTTGATTGATGAAGAACATTTTAGTGCAGCTGCAGCAGCTCTCATGTAATTGGTATAAATACGAACGTCTAGCTGAAATGCCAAAAAACCCTGCACTGCTCTCAATGCGTTGCTAAGGAGTCCAGTCCAGTAACTCAATAGCATTCATGTAGTATCTTTATACTAGGCATTTCAGAAAGATTGAGGTATTCAAATGAAAATTCTAATTAAGTTATTGAAAGACATAAAAGTCATTTTAATAAATTAATGGAAAAAATATTGATTTCTGATATGTTTTACTTTTGTTTAAAATCTTGTTTTGAACATTACTGGCTGAAATTTGTCCATGTCTCAAATTTACTTGGATTCTCTGGCATCAAGCAGTATAGCAGCCGACTATCAATTAAGCCCAAACAGGGTCATCAAAGATATCAGGCCACATTTTTGCTCCCCAGATGGAGAATGCAAACTGGGTTGCTTCCTGGCTTGCCACACTTCCCTTCAGAGACAGAGACCCACCAGATCGGCTTTTCCAGGCTAGTGGATAGCCTGCCTTGTAACTCACTGGCCCACTGCCTCAGAAGCAAATGGGAGGTGGGTGCAGGGGTCAGTGAGTTCTAAGGCAGGCTTTTTAAAAGCTCTGCATCAGTTATCTGGAATATCTCCTCCGTTTGTTTGGTTAAATATTAGACACTATAGCCAATTCTCCTCAATCCCCGTAACACTCCACCCACTCCTCCTGCCCTATCCATCCTAACTCATGACCCC